CACTTCAGGTCGTTGAGGTCCTGTTCCAACAGGTCTTCCAGCATTATGGACTTCCGGAGGACATTGTCTCGGACCGTGTCCCCCAATTCACCTCCCGAGTGTGGAAGGCTTTCCTGGAGAAGATCAGGGCCACGGCCAGCCTCACTTCCGGGTATAGGCTTCAGTCGAATGGGCAGGTGGAGTTTATGAACCAAAACTGGGGAGGTTTCTTCATTGCCACTGTCAGGACCGGCAGGGTGAGTGGGTGAGGTTTCTACCCTGGGCAGAATATGTCCAGAACTACCTCGTTCACTCCTCCACGGGGCTCACTCCCTTCCAGTGCGTCCTGGCGTACCAGCCGGCCCTGGCCCCTTGGACACCCAGCCAGACCGATGCGCCCGCTGTCGACGAGTGGTTCCACAGGGCTGGACAGGTCTGGGACGCCGCCCATGTCCATCTCCAGAGGGCCATTCGTCGGCAGAAGGACCAAGCTGACCGCCACCGCAGTGAGGCCCCCGTATTCCAGCCTGGTGATTGTGTCTGGCTGTCCACAAAAAAACCTCCCTCTCCGCCTGCGCTGCAAGAAACTGAGCCCCCTGTTTGTGGGGTCGTTTAAGGTCCTCCGGCGGATGAATGAGGTATCGTACTGGCTGCTCCTTCCCCCTCACTGCCGTGTCTCACCCACTTTTCATGTGTCTCTCCTCAGGCCAGTGGTTCCTGGTCCTCTGGTGGATGCCATGCCCCGGTGTATGCCCCCTCCGCCCCTGGACATTGATGGGAGTCTGGCGTATGCGGTGAGGGACCTGCTGGACTCCAGGTTCCGTGGGGGACAGCTCCGTTACCTGGTGGACTCGGAGGGGTATGGTCCTGAGGAGAGGAACTGTGTTCCGGCTGGGGACGTTCTGGACCCCAACCTAATTCGGGACTTCCACCGTCGCCGCCCTGACCGGCCCCCTCCTTGTCCTCGGGGTCGTCCTCCCGGCCGGCAACGTCCTGTGTGTGATTGTCAGTATCTTGTCGTGTACGCGCTCTTTGTTGTTCTCTTGCTCAGTGTTAAATAAACCTTTACATTGTTGATTCCTGCGTCTGCGTCCTGCCTCTTCATATCCTCAGTACTCGCCACAAGCAGCAGCGTCTAATGTGCTAGTGATGGCTATTTCACGGTCTGATGGCCTTGAGATAGAAGCTGTTTTTCATTCTCTTGGTCCCAGCTTGATGCACCTGTACTGACCTCACCTTATGGATGATAGCGGGGTGAACAGGCAGTGGCTCGGGTGGTTGATGTCCTTGATTATCTTTTTGGCCTTCCTGTGACATCGGTCGCTGTAGGTGTCTTGGAGGGCGGGTAGTTTGCCCTCAGTAATGTGTTCGGCAGACCACACCACCCTCTGTAGAGCCTTACAGCCCGACAGGATGCTCTCAATTGTGCATCTATAAATGCGGGGTTTTAGGTGCCAAGACAAAATTCTTCAGGCTCCTGAGGTTGAAGAGGCTCTGTTGCGCCTTCTTCACCACACTGTTTGCGTGGGTGGACCATTTCAGTTTGTCAGTGATGTGTACGCCAAGGAACTTGACACTTTCCACCTTTTCCACTACGGTCCCGTCGATGTGGATAGGGGGGTGCACCCTCTGTTGTTTCCTGAAGTCCACAATCATCTCCTTTGTTTTGTTGATGTGAGTGAGTGAGAGGTTATTTTCCTGGCACCACACTCCCAGAGCCCTCACATCCTCCCTCTAGGCAGTCTCGTCATTGTTGGTAATCAAGCCTACTACTATTGTGTCATCTGCAAACTTGATGATTGAGTTGGAGGCATGCTTGGCCACGCAGTCATGGGTGAACAGGGAGTACAGGAGAGAGGTGAGCACGCACCCTTGTGGGGTCCCAGTGTTGAGGATCTGCGAAGTGGAGATGTTGTTTCCTACCTTCACCACCTGGGGGCAGCCCGTCAGGAAGTCCAGGACCCAGTTGCACAGGGCAGGGTTCAGACCCAGGGCCTCATGCTTAATGATGAGCTTGGAGGGTACTATGGTGTTGAATGCTGAGCTATAGTCAATGAACAGCATTCTTACATAGGTATTCCTCTTGTTCAGATGGGATAGGGCAGTGTGATGGAGATTGCATCGTCTGTGGATCTATTGGGGCGGTAAGCAAATTGAAGGTATCGTAGAGGTTATATCATCCTTGACACGTCTCTCAAAGCACTTCATGGTGACAGAGGTTAGTGCTATAGTACGATCGTCATTTAGTTCAGTTACCTTTGCTTTCTTGGGTACAGGAACAATGGTGGCCATCTTGAAGCATGTGGGAACAGCAGACTTGGAAAGTGAGAGATTGACTATGTCCGTAAACACACCAACCAGCTGGTCTGCGCATGCTCTGAGGACGCGGCTAGGGATGCCATCTAGTCCAGCAGCCTTGCGGGGGTGAACATGCTTAAATGTCTTACTCACGTCGGCCACGGAGAAGGAGAGGCCACAGTCCTTGGTAGTGGGCCTCGTCGGTGGCACTGTGTTATCCTCAAAGCGGGCGAAGAAGGTGTTTAGCTTGTCTGGAAGCGAGACGTCTGGAAGCGAAAACTCATGCAAATGTTATTAGATCTTTCTATACAAATGGGGGGTGGCAGGTAGCCTAGCGGTTAGAGTGTTGGCCCAGTAACTAAAAGGTCGCTGGTTCGAATACCTGAGCCGAAAAGGTGAAAAATTGGTTGATTGTACCCTTGAGCAAGGAACTTAGCACTAGTTTGCTCCAGGGGCACCATACCACTATGGCTGACCCTGTAAAATGACACATTTCACTGCACCTATCTGGTGTGTGTGAAAATGAAGACATGTTTTTCCCCCTTTTTGTATGCATTTGACCTACAAGAACAGTGTACAGTATGTCTATTAGAGGGCATTATAGCCATCTGCATTTTTACTAGGGCATGTATCAACATATTCCTCGTTGGGGTCAACAGATGCCTCAGTTGCATCTGCTGGTTGGCTCATAATGTCAGCTTTACTGGATCTCTTGCTATAGCATCAGAAGGGTAATCTACTCCCAAATTGTCGCAGTGTTCTGCATCATCTGCCATGTGTTCACATGTGCTCTGACACATTAAGACGTTTACCCATGTACAGGAAACACTTGATTAAATGAGGGATACAAAATACTGTATATTGAAAGTAGGTGCTTCCACACAGATTTTGCTCCTGAGTTAATTAAGCAATTAAAACATCCCATCATGCTTAGGGTCATGTATATAAAATCCCAGTTACCCATTATTTTGGCTATCATGGCTAGAAGAAAAGATCTCAGTGACTTTGAAAGATGGGTCTCAAAAGAGCATAGGGTGTTTAAAGTGTGTGTGTGTGTTTGTTTGTTTGTTTGTGTCTCAGTCACCAGACCCAATTGAACACTTATGGGAGATTCTGGAGCGGCGCCTGAAATAGTGTTTTTAACCACCATCAACAAAACACCAAATTATGGAATTTCTTGTGGAAGAATGGTGTCGAACTTGTTCCAGACACTTGTAGAACCTATGCCAAGGCGCATTGAAGCTGTTCTGGTGCCTTGGGGCCCAAAGCCCTATTAAGACGGTACCCCCCTGTATATATAGCCTCCCTACTGTCACTTTATTCTATTGTATATATAGCCTCCCTACTGTCACTTTATTTTTACTTCTGCTCTTTTTTTCTCAACACTTTTTTGTTGTTGTTTTATTCTTACTTTTTTGTTTAAAATAAATGCACTGTTGGTTAAGGGCTGTAAGTAAGCATTTCACTGTAATGTCTGCACCTGTTGTATTCGGCGCATGTGACCAATAAAATTTGATTTGATTTGATTTGATTTGAAGAAACTTTATGTTGGTGTTGCCTTTATTTAGGCAGTTATCTGTATATCCCAGAGACTTTGCTCTGGCTGACATCAGGTTGTCACAGATTGTCATTTTGAATAAATGTATAAAAATGATCTAGTGTTCACTAAATGACAAGTGAAGGAAATTAAATTACATTCATTGTGTTTTGGTGTTTATGTGAGAACGATGTTGAAAATGTTTAACATTGCTCTCCATGTTCTTTCTTCTAAATTTTAAATGACTAATTTGTCATGTTAGTCATTTAGCAGACACTCTTCTCTCTGCCCTGTCCTAGCCTGTTGGAGTGCTCATGGGAAGTATGCCCAGAAGCTGCTGAAAGATTTGTCTGAAACTGTATAACAACACACTTCACTGCACATGTCTGGTGTATGTGACAATAAAATGCAGAAACAAAGTGGAGGCAACCGAAGAAGAGAAAACTCTTCTCCTGAGGAGTTCCCTCTTCTTCCATTGCTTTTCTTGTGCCTTTGGCTAATCCTGCAATTTGAGTAATTGTTCAGCAGTCTTATGGCCTGGGGGAAGAAGCTGTTAAGGAGCCTTTTGGACCTAGAATTGGCACTCCGGTACCTCTTGCCGTGAGGTAACAGAGAGAACAGTCTACGACTTGGGTGACTGGAGTCTTTGACAATTTTTTGGGCCTTCTTCTGACACCACTTAGTATATAGGTCCTGGATGGCAGGAGGCTTGGCCCCAGTGATGTACTGGGCCATACGCACTACCCTCTGTAGCGCCTTACGGTCTGATGCCGAGCAGTTGCCATACCAGGTGGTGATGCAACCAGTCAGGATGCTCTCGATGGTGCAGCTGTATAACTTTTTGAGGTTCTGGGGACCCATGCCAAATATTTTCAGTCTCCTGAGGGGCAAAAGGCGTTGTCGTACCATCTTCATGACTTTCTTGGTGTGTTTGGACCATGACTTGAAACTCTCGACCCGCTCCACTACAGCCCCGTCGATAAGAATGGGGGCGTGTTTGGCCCTCCTTTTCCTGTAGTCCACGATCATCTCCTTTGTCTTGCTCGCGTTGAGGGAGAGGTTGTTGTCCTGGCACCACACTCCCTTTAGGCTGTCTCATCGTTGTCAGTGATCAGGCCTTAAAGTGACATCAGGATAGTGTTTGTAATACATGAATGTTCCCCTGTCAACGTACCACCGGAAAGTACTACACAGCCACCATGACCATGATAACAGCCTCCACGGCCCTGACCATCTTTATCATGAACATCCACCACTGTGGCCCAGACGCCAAGCCTGTGCCCAAGTGGGCCAATATCTTCATCCTGCAGTACCTGGCCTGGGTGTGCTTTCTGTATGAAATAGGGGAGAACTGCATGTCTTTCCAGCCTGAGAAAACAGGACCCGCCACCTCAACCTACACCTCAGAGGAGCAACAACTACACCATGAATGGACAAGTAGTACGAGAGGACTTGATTCTGGTGGAAAGAGGTCAAGATGGCATTACCCCCAAAATAATTGAGGAGACAGAGTATTAGTTGACCAGCCCCACTGGCTCCATGGGGAGGAAACCCACCAACCACTACAACGCCTGGAGAAACAGCATGTTCATGAGCATGGACTGTGGGGAGCCGGAAGGGGGGAGTGAGCGATGAAGTAGGAGGGAGTAGAGGGAGAGAGGAGGTGTGTAAGACCCAGTGCACCTGTCAGCAGCAGCAGCTAATCAGAAATATTGAGTACATTGCTAACTGTTACAGAGATACGAGGGCCACAGTGAAAAGGACTGGGGAGTGGACGAAGGTGGCGAAGGTGTTGGACCAATTCTTCATGTGGATCTTTTTCATCATGGTGTTTTCCATGAGCCTTCTCATCATGTGGAAAGCCATCTAACTTCAGACCTGGGCTGTGTTCATTAGGTACGAACAGGAGAAAACATGTTGAAATGAAGGAGGTATTACCTGAAATGGTATATCAAAATGTTCTGTTTTACACCTATTTGTCACACCCTGGCTCTGGGACTCATTATGTTGAGCCAGGGTGTGTGCATTCTATGTGTTCATTTTCTATGTTGGGTTGTATTTCTTTGTTTGAAGGAGTGACTCCCAATCAGAGGTAACGAGTGTCAGCTGTTGGCTCGTTGTCTCTGATTGGGAGCCATATTTAAACTGTGTGTCTTCACCTTGTGTTTGTGGGTTATTGTTCCGTGACGGTATGTTTAACCGTGGACTTCACGAATTGTGTTTTGTTTATATTTAGGAACTTTATTTAAATAAAGTCATGTTTAGTTCACACGCTGCGCCTTGGTCTACTCACTCCTACGACGATCGTGACACTATTGAACATAACCAAAAATACAGATGTACGATCCTAACTTGAGCAAGTTTGCTACTGCAGGAAAATAATCCTGCTGCAGCAACAGGAAATGTGATTTTTTATGTGGATTACAATTAATGGGCATTTTTGTAGGGGTTGATACATTTTTCGTAAGGGAAAACCAAGTCTGAAATGTCATAGTGGAGATTACAAACTTCAGAAGCCTCTTTAAACCTCACGTACACTACAAGTTTTAAATGTCCTACAGTTCTCCTGCAAAGGGTAGATCAAATTAAGATCCTACATCTCTACAGGTCGTGTGTGTTAGATAATTATTTGTAGTTTCTACATTCATTTCAAAGTGAACATGGGAATTGCAATACCTTTAAATTACCATACAGGGATGATAAAACAGAAATTAATAGTTGGTTTAAGCTTTTTGAGTTAATTTATTAACATTAAAATCCATTCTGACTGTTTGTGACATTTCAAAAATTATTAAATAATCAATTGCAGCATCACAAAATCTCATAGTACATGATCCAGTGTATGTCTGACATACTGAAAGGGACAATTCAACTTGATATTGTTAAGAGAAACAAAGATTATCACTTTAACTATTAGCTGTTACGTATCCAGGGTTTATTCTCTGTTTTCTCTGTTCACAGTGGATTGAACTGTATGTCCTGATTCTGAACTGTATGTTCTGATTCTGAACTGTATGTCCTGATTCTGAACTGTATGTTCTGATTCTGAACTGTATGTTCTGATTCTGAACTGTATGTTCTGATTCTGAACTGTATGTTCTGATTCTGAACTGTATGTCCTGATTCTGAACTGTATGTTCTGATTCTGAACTGTATGTCCTGATCCTGAACTGTATGTTGTGTGTTGCTTTGTTGTGCCAACTTGTATTCCCTACTGATTTCACCTCTCTCCACAGAGAAATATTTAATTCGATCTGCTCAGACACTCTGCTAGTCTCCTGACAAATGACTGCATTTTGTATAGCTACATATTCTAATTGAGTGTTTAACCCCACAACAGTTCAACAGTGTCCCTGTTATTCACCATGAGAGCCGACGTTACCAGAACAGAGCTTTCTCAGTGCAGCCTTTATCTCTTTGTTTCTGAAACTATAGATGACAGGATTCATAACAGGGACACTGTCAGACAGCAGTTAACAATAGATATCAAGATTAGAACATTACAGTGAACGTTTTTTTTTAGATTTGGCACTGATGTAGATGCAGGAGTGAGTGAGGTGGAAGGTGAGGACTACAGTAAGATGTGCGGAGCAGGTGGAGAAGGCTTTTATACGGCCCTCTGAAGACGCAATCTTGCAGACGGTTAAAATTATTCTGAAGTAGGACCAAATAATGACAGTGAACGGGAGGAAAGTCACAGAACCAAAAAATGTATTTTGTTGCTACAGAAGGGCATTTGTGATGCGAAAAGGACACAGAAAGCAGGTAAATAGAGTCCCGATGCCCATGCTGCTATAGCCAATAGGCCGCATTCTCTTAGTGATAATGCAGCTGTGGCGTAAGGGATTACAGATGGTGACATAGCGGTTATAGTCCATGACACACAGCAGCTCGCTCTCGACGGTTTCAAATGACAAAAACACATACAACTGGATAAAACATGCTGAGAGATGGTTATGTCATTCCACAAACACACTGCTATCATCTTAGAGAGAACACTGGTTGATGTCTATGAGGGCCAGGTTGCTGAGGAAAATGTACATGGCAGACTGCAGCTTGGGGTCTGTCGCCACCAGGGTAAGTATGATGAGCTTTCCAATCAGGATCATCAGGTAGAACACCAATAGGAAGACCAGCTCTAGGTAGAACCCTCTCTCACCCCCACCGAAGAGGAAGTCAGTCACAACAGTCACATTGGCTTGAATGCAAGAGTCAACTGGCGGTCAAGGAAGATAATTTTACAAAGGTGCACAATATCAGCATTTGCTTAAGAATGACAGAAATAGTTGACGATCTTATTTGGTATGAGACACTTACTTTCTACATTGTGAAAGCTGTATTCAGGGCATTTATGTTGTCGACAGATTTTGATATTATTTGGACTATTTCTGTGAAAAGACACACACAAAAAGACATAGAAACATGAATCATTCATCTCTATAGTATACACTACATGTAATATAAACCATTTTGAATAGCCATTGATGCAAATGATGAATTGATGAATCTGGTATTGAATTAGCACAATAACACCAATGATTTGCCTCCCCACTATACAGTAACACTTACCGTCTGTATAGTGTGCACAAAACAATGCTACTTAATACATTTTGCAAAAATAATTCACTTAACAAGACTTAATTCACAGAAGAAAATGGAAAAGATCAAACTCCTGATAGTGGCTTGACAATATGACTAGTTTATCTCAATGTACAGGTCATCATGTGGACTTGATCTAGAAACCAAGTGGTTGTGTTTCTGTTGTCCTGTCTATTTTATAGCGCTCCCTGCACTTCCCGGGGGCTTCCACACACCTCCTCTAACTGCAAACTCTCTCATAGTTCAGAACATAGTTGGTTTCCTGGGATTATTCCAGCCAATCAGCGCTTCACACAACAGTAGGCCTAATGACTCCCACGCATGCGTTGATCGGTAATACGTGCATGGCATTCATGGCAAACGAGAGCAGAGCTAAAATGGATAATAATAACTACTACTCTCTTCTGTGCTTCCCTTCCCTTGTTGCATCATTATGTATGCTTATGACTGGGGCACATAGTTTCTGATTCATTATGTCCAACACTTAATTTCGATCCTCTAAAATGTTTATATGCATGGATAGATGCTCAACAAACTCTTCATGAACTCCATCGGCTAGCTAGATGTTAACTGCGAATGCTGATATGCAACAAACAATCTTTTGTTGCCAGCAGGGAGTTGTACATGTCCTTATACAATGGTGCTTGAATGTGTGTGATAGTTTTAAAATCTGAAAGCTCCAGACAATATCAACCCGGAATGTATAGACAATGGTTTTTCCTTGCCGTGTAACCTTTTACCATTTCAAAGTAACATAATCATATTTGATTATAAGGATATATCAAACATGCTAATTCATTGTTAAAGGCTCAGTGCAGTCAAAAATGTGATTTACCTGAGTTCTATATATATTTACACACTATGAGGTTGGAATAATACTTTGAAATTGCGAAATTGGTAATGCCCTTTTAGTGTAAGAATTGTTTCTGGTGATATGGAGTTTTGGCCTGCCAGGCGGTATATTAGTTAATAGACCAATAAGAAAGAGAGTTCCAAACCTTTCTGCCAATAACAGATAGTTTTCAATTTTCCCCTCCCCACTAAGACCACTCCCAGACAGTCCTAGCAAAATTCTTGATTGAGAAATTGCTCTATGCTAAGAAGCTATTGTTTCTTTTTGACCATTTTCATTGAAAACAATCACAGTAAGGTACTTAATTGTTACCCAGAAATGATTTGATAAATAAATCCAAATAAAAAACGGCTGCATTTGACCTTTAAATAATAAAATCCAAACATGGTGCGTTATGGAATAACTTTATTGGAAAACAGGAGTTTCAGTACAGAATCCTTTATCTGTTTGTTTCTGAAACTGTAAACAAGTGGGTTCACAAGAGGAGTTAAAATACAGTTGACAATAGATATTAAGATGAGAACATTGGGATGAATATTATTTGATTTAGCACTGATGTAGACGCATGAATGAGCAATGTAGAAGGTAAGGACAACAATGAGATGTGAGGAGCAGGTAGAGAAAGCTTTTTTCCGCCCTTCAGATGTGGCAATTTTGCAAATGGATTTGATGATTCTACAATATGACCAACATATGACAGTGAATGGAACATACATCACAAATAAAGCACATGCGAGGGCTAGATCTATCAATAAAGTTGTGTCCAAACAAGACAATGTAACAATCGGAGGATAATCACAAAACCAAAACATTATCTCATTCCTGCAGAAAGGTAGTTTTGATGCAAGAATGACATTCAATGCTGGAAAAATCATCCCCAAAGCCCATGCTGTTGAGGCCAGTAACACACACTTTTTGATTGTTATGATGCTGTTGTAGCGTAAAGGATTGCAGATAGCAACATAGCGGTCGTAGGCCATGACACACAGGAGAAATCCCTCTGCAATTTGGAATGTCAAATAAGTATACATCTGCAAGAAGCAACCTGCAAATGAAATGGACACATCATTCCACAAACACACTGATATTATTTTAGGTAGAACGCTGGTGGTAATCACTATATCTATGAAAGACAGGTTACAGAGCAAAATATACATTGGTGTGTGAAGTTTGGAGTCCAGCAAGACCAGAGTGATGATCATGGTGTTGCCAATGAGGACCATGATGTATACCACTAGAAGAAAGATGGCCAGCTCTGTGTAGATCTCCTTGAGACCCAGCTCCCCTCCATGTATCAGGAAATCTGCAAACAGGCTCACATTGAACTCCAGTGGTTGAGAAACATCTGAAAAACATCATGAGAATAATTCGATTTCATCTAAAAGCATGCATCCACGAAGCACTGTCTAAAACACATACTGGTATATAAATACATAGTAAGTATATAGTCGCACACAGGGGCGTAATCCACAAGAAGACCATTGGTGTGAGGAGGAGAGGCGGGGGGACCGCTAGGATGAACAGGGTATTACGGCGGGAGGCAGGATGGGGCACACACACACACACACACACACACCCCATACCACACACACACCACACACACACCCAAACAAGCCGACACACACACCCCAGGCATCACACACACCAGACAACCACACACACCACACACACCCAGACCACACACACCATACACCACACAGCCAACACACACACACGCAGCACCACACACACACACCACCAGGACACACACACACACACACCACACCACCAGACACCACACACACACACCACACACACATACCAATACACACACACACACACACACACCATACACACACACACACACACCACACACACACACCACACACCACACACACACACACACCACACACACACACACCATACACACACACACACACACCATACACACACACACACACACACACACACCATACACACACACACACACACACGCACACCATACACACATATAGTAGGACCTTTTTGAAATCAAAGAGATACAGAAGGAACATCATAATAGAAGGAAACAAAGGCCTTTAAAGGCTGAGGATGATATAAGAGTTAGTTTGATAGTTTTTCACTGTTCAGGTAAAGACATTTCACCAATAGACAACACTGCAAACTCTAAAGCAAAGAATTGTATGGAATCAGCTGACAGTGAAAGGGGGGGGGGGGGGGGCATGGCAGGCAATGTGTCTTCCGCATTTAACCCAACCTCGCTGAATCGGAGAGGTGCATGGGGCTGCCTTAATCGACATCTCTGGTGCCCCAGGAACAGTTTTTGGTTAACTGTCTTGCCGACTTGGGGATTTGAACCAGCGACCTTTCAATTACTGGCCCAACGCTCTTAACCGCGAGGCTACACTACTGATTTTCAATTAAGTCAAGATTCACTATTAGAAACCAAACCAAATATCAAACAACAGTGTGTTGAGCATTGAGCACATTTACATGGGAGGTTTACAGTGAGGTTGATCCGGACAAGGGCATGGTTGTCCAAAGTTGCCACAGGTAATCACAGAGCCACAGTAGATGCTAAGAGGGATCCTTGGGACGACCCTACCATATACCCTGACCCCTAACCCTGACCATTACACTTACCCTTATCCAAACCCTTACCAAACCCTAACCTTAACCCTTACCTTAACCATTTTACATTTCAATGGGGGGATGTCAGAGTTGGGTCATCCAAAGCATCCCACTTAGCAAAAACCATTGATTCACACAACAAATAAATAAATATACATTTAACAAACAAAAACAAATGGACATGGGAAAAAAAATAATCTGCTAAGGTTGAATGGATTGTGTTAGGGTTAATACATTGACTCAAATAGGGTAATACTTGTAGCTATGCATTTTGTTGTCATTGCATTTTCAAAACATTTAACAGGACGTACTAAAGAAACCAGAAAATTGTTAGCATCCTCCAATTCACCAACCACTGTTGACAATATGTTTTACATTAATCAGACGGTGAGAACTTCCTATTTAAATATCGGAAACGTAATTTTGTTTACCTGAAAGAGAAAAATAAGATGTTTATTATGGCTGCCGTTCTTCTTGTTCCTTAAACAGCTCTTGTATCATTATATTTTTCCAATTGGAAAATTAGAAAACACAAACAATTGTCATATCATAGAAAGCACTGGATTTCTCACTTACTTGCCATTGCGTTGGTCATCTCACCAGACAATCCTGCTCTGAGACCAGCATCTCTGGGATTGAGGAAGAGCTGCATAATGTGACAACTTTTATAAGAACTCCTCACCCGCTCTTCCTCTGTTATCCTTTTCAGGAAGCTTTTTAATTAGACAGCAAACAGAGGAGTCACTTTGGGACCTATTGATCATGTTGTCTGAAACAAGCTCATTATTGGGACCTACAACACCAGCTCTAATTGGTTTGATCAGAACACAGAGACCCTTCAAACGTTTTATGTCTCTAAGGTATCATATCACATGAAAACAATGCAGGCCTGTCCAATACACTGTGGTCCAATTTAAGTTGGTAAGGCCATGCCATGTCTGTGATTTAATATACAATTATATAGCATCCATGCAGTGATTAAATGTACTAAGTAGAATAACATAATCTACACCAGTGGTGATAAAAGTACCCTATTGTCATACTTGAGTAAAAGTAAAGATACCTTAATAAAAAATGACTCAAATAAAAGTGAAAGTCTCCCAGTAAAATACTACTTGAGAAAAAGCCTAAAAGTACTTGGTTTTAAATATACTTTTGTATCTAAATTAAATGTAATTGCTAAAAATATACTTTACTTTACGTGTCAAAAATGAAACTATAAATCATTTCAAATTCCTTATATTAAGCAAACCAGATGGCACCATTTTCTCTATATATTTTTTATTTATGGCTAACCAGGGGCACACTCCAACACTCAGACATCATTTACAAATGAAGCATTTATGTTTAGTGAAACCGCCAGATCAGAGGCAGTAGGGATGACAGGCATGTTCTCTTGATAAGTGCATGGATTGGACCATTTTCCTGTCCTGCTAAGCACTCAAAATGTAATGAGTACTTTTGGTTGTCAGGGAAAATGTATGGAGTAAAAAGTACATCCTTTTCTTTAGGAATGTAGTGAAGTAAAAGTAAAAGTAGTCAAAAACATAAATAGTAAAGTCAAGTACAGATACCCAAGACATACTAACTTCTCACCATTTCAATAACAGGGGAGGTTAGCATTTCTTGGGGGGAATGGTATTTGTGCATCTGTAACTTTCTCATTATTCACGATTCATTCAGGATGATCCATAATCATGGTAGCATCCACATTAATGTAGAAGTGTTTAGAAACATATTCATATTTACAATAAAAGTGACCCCAAAAGTATTTATAATTCATTTCAATTGGGCACAAAATGATCTGAAACACAACCAAAACAAACAGCAAATGCATCCAACAAATGTGTAGAGTCACAAGCTTGATGTAGTCATTGCGTGCTATGAATATGGGACCAAATACTAAACTTTTTACTACTTTAATACACATTTAAGTGAATTTGTCCCAATACCTTTGGTCCCCTAAAATGGGGGGACTATGTACAAAAAGTGCTGTAATATCTCAACGGTTCACCCGATATGGATGAAAATACCCTTAAATTAAAGCTGACGGTCTGCACTTTAACCTGATAGTCATTCTATCATTTCAAAAACAACAAAACCTTTGTCACTGTCCCAATACTTTTGGAGCTCACTGTATGCCCCTCTTGTGATGTTTTTGGTAAACAGACAGACATGAATGTCAATTGCTTGGCTCTGCTCCTGTGAGAGGGAGCACCAGAAGGACTGTAGGAACTGTGTCAGAGTAAAAGGCCCTGGATTATTGGCAGTTTATGTATTTATATCACTATTATTTGACAGTGTAGCAGCCTGAACATGTTAAAGGCAATCTGGGATATTTCCTGCTGTTGAATGGTAATTTCAATTAGCCACAGCCAAAGTCACAATGATATTTATGAGAATTGTGAAATATTTTCTTTTACATTAAGGTTTTCTGGTAACATTTACAGTATCCTATCTTGTTGCATTGAATAAATACAATTAATGTAATAAAATACATTATATTTTTCCTATGATATATACTTTTGTAGAAATGTATATAGAGAATAACAATAATTTCATAACAAGTTGATGCTTATTGTTTATTATGATTCAATCAAATAATTAAAATGTACACTTTTTCAGAGAATGAGCAAATTAAAAGGATAGTAGATTGTAACTTCCATCCATGTAATTGTCTGCATCACTTCCAATCCCCCATGTTTTTTATATTTATACTCCCCTTTATTACTTTTCAACCCCGCCATCCTTTCCCTACTTGGGGTAAATTAGTGAACAACAATGCTTAGGCCCCTACTTCCAGCTTATTATTTTTTATGGACACAGTCAATTTTACAAAAATTATATTTTATTTGTTTTTGCTCCTGAACTTCTTCTACTCTCAACCTCTCCGATAATTTTCATGATGTTCATCAGGTTAGCTTCTATATGCCATATCTTTCTAACTGTGCTCTGTCCCAAAAGCTCCCAACATACAACCTATATACTTATTATGGACACAGTATACTTACATTATTAGTTATCTTGTTATTATTTGTTGTTATTTGTTATTAGTCCCATCCTTCAACTCCATTCAACACCTCCCATCTATCTCTTAACACCATCCATACAGGATTTATTTTTGCCATATATATTTCAACCGCACTGTGATGTTTTACAAAAGCTCTGAACCTTTCTATTCTCATTGCTTCTACAGATTGTGAATTAAAAATGAACATTTTTGCTAAAGGTATTATTATATTATTGATCGATTGACTATGACTTTTCAGATCACCCAGTAGTGCTATCTGCAAGGTTAGCTCCAGGTAAATATTGCAATCCTTTAGCCATTCCTGGACCTGTGTCCAAAAACAAGCTACAAATGGACAGAACCAAAACAAATGAACTAATGATTCTGTCTCTTCACAGCAAAATCTGCAGAGCTGGGAAGATTGTATCCCCCATATAAATAATATTCTATTGGTAGCAATAATTTTATATAATAATTTAAATTGAAAGATTAAAATTTTTGAACACGGTGTCATTTTGCGTGTCAGTTCATAAACACTATGCCATGGGATCGGTACATCAAAAATCTCCTCCCAACTATTTTGCAATCTATATGGGACGGCTGTCAATCCTTTGGTCCTTAAGTGAAACTGATATACTTTTTTATTTATCACAGTTTTCCTTAACAAATTGTGTTCTTTAATGCAAGGCCAACAGACAAGTTCCTTACTTTCTCCCCCTTCCACTTTCCTCTTTAACTTTTGCGGTAAGGCTGCAATTATTTGGTTGTAATTTTGGGTAGAGCAGACATTTCCATATGTTTTTGTTAGCTGCATGTGCGACAAGGGGATGCATGGGCGAATCTTCCCAGCTCTGCAGATTTTGCATGTGCGACATAACTCCACCAGTCCTACCGATGATATAATTTACGAAGATTATACCTTTTTTAAACATTCTGTCAAAAAAAAGGTTTTTTGTCAATTAGTATATTTGAATTTAACCACAATATTTGTTTCATTATTTGTTCTGTCGTTTCTGGAGGATAACATTGAAATTGCAACCAACTTTCTATGGCTTTTTTTAGAAATAGTGATATTTGGGAGATGATTTCCTTTTCAAATAACTGAAAATGAGTGGTTGTAATCTGAATAAAGGGAAAAAGGCCATTCTTGAACATTGGGTGAGACAGTTTTACTAATTTGCTTGAGAACCAGTTCGTATTTAAGTATAACTTTTGTATGACTGAAGCTTTTAGTGATAGGTCTAATGCTTTAATATTTAATAATTTCTGTCCTCCGAATTCATATTCATTATTTAAATAGGCCCTTTTAATTTTGTCTGGCTTGCCGTTCCAAATAAAATGGATTTTTTTTTATCATATAATTTAAAAAACTGTTCGCTAGGCGTAGGCAAGACCATAAGCAAATAGGTAAACTGGGATAATACTAAAGAGTTAATCAGGGTGATTTTTCCACAAATTGACAGGTATTTACCTTTCCATGGTAGCAAGATCTTATCTATTTTTGCTAACTTTCTATTAAAATGTATTGAAGTGAGATCATTTATTTCCTTTGGGATATGTATTCCGAGTATATCCACATCACCATCAGACCATTTTATTGGTAAACTACATGGTAATGTAAAAATTGTATTTTTTAGTGATCCAATACGGAATATAGTACATTTATCATAATTTGGTTGTAATCCAGAGCGGTTAGAAAATGTATCTAGATCCTCTATGAGGCTGTGGGGGGATTCTAGTTGTGGATTTAAAAGAAAACATGAATCATCAGCGTTTTTAAGCCCTGTATTTCTAATCCTCTGATATTATTATTGGATCTGATTTTAATAGCTAACATCTCGATGGCCACAATAAATAGATATGCCGATAGTGGACAACCTTGTTTCACTCCTCTTGACAGTTTAAAACTTTCTGAGAAATAGCCATTATTTACTATTTTACACCTAGGGTTACTATACATGATTTTGACCCATTTTATAAGAGATTCTCCAAAATTGAAATGCTCCAGGCATTTATATATAAACTCCAGTCGTACTTTATCAAATACCTTTTCAAAGTCTGCTATGAATAGCAGGCCTGGTTTCCCATATTTTCCATAGTGTTCTATTGTTTCCAATACTTGCCATATATTATCTCCAATGTGTCTTCCATGTAAAAAACCTGTCTGATTAGAATGAGTAATATCCGACAATACCTTTTTAATTCTATGCGCTATACATTTTGCTAGAATTTTTGCATCACAACACTGAAGTGTAAGGGGCCTCCAATTTTTTTAATGGACTGGATCTTTATATTTTCCACTTGTATCCTGTTTCAGTAATAATGAGATCTTCTTGAGTGTCAGATAATCTACCATTTACATAGGAGTGGTTAAAACATGCTAATAACGGTCCCCTTTTAATATATCAAAAAAGGTTTGGTATACCTCGACTGGTATGCCATCCAACCCTGGAGTTTTCCCGGACTTAAAGTATTTAATTGCATCAATGTTGGTAATCAAGCCTACTACTATTGTGTCATCTGCAAACTTGATGATTGAGTTGGAGGCATGCTTGGCCACGCAGTCATGGGTGAACAGGGAGTACAGGAGAGAGGTGAGCACGCACCCTTGTGGGGTCCCAGTGTTGAGGATCTGCGAAGTG